TATATAATCTCATATGCTATCATGATGTCGACTTCTGCCTCCACTCTGCCAAAGATGCCTGTCTTGATTGCCCATTTGTCAAATTCCAGCAAGTCCCTATCTGCTTTGTCTTATGCTGCATGAAAGGAGCTTCCTGTAAATATCCATAAAACTATTTCATTGTCCTACTTCAAATCCCTTCTTAAAGCTCTCCTCTGCTGTGATGCCTACAAAAACCTCAACAATGATTAGAAAGCTGGTATGCTGAGACAGCTGCTTAGCACACTGTTCATAATCCTCTCGTTACCTTGTGCTTTCCCCCAGGGCCAGCTCCAGGCACCAGCCTGGCAAGCAGGTGCTTGGGGCGGCCGCTCCGGAGAGGGGCAGCACGTCCAGGTATTCAGCGGCAATTCGGCGGACAGTCCCTCACTCCCACTCGGAGCGAAGGACCTCCCGCCGAATTGCCGCCGCAGGTCGCGATCGCGGCTTTTTTTTTTTTTTTTGGCTGCTTGGGGCGGCCAAAACCCTGGAGCCGGCCCTGCTTTCCCCATATGTCTCTTGTCTCCATTAGACTGAAAGCTCTGTATGGCAGGGACTGTCTTTTTGTTATGTGCTTATAGGGTGGCTAGCACAATGGGGCCTGTATGGCTCTTTTGGGGTCCTGAAGTGCTACTGCAACACAAATAGTAAATGATGATGATACATAGCACTATTCGCAAGTGATGCCTTGGTGTTTGACAGCCAAAGAGAGAGAAACTCCATTCGTTCACTTCCCATGCCCTCCTCTGTACTCAGGTTTAATGCACTGGTGGAGTTGCACAGGTGTTAGCAACTATGGGGAAAATTTTGGAAAAATAATTTGAGAGTAGATAAGCGCTTTAAAAGTATAAGTTGCTTTCACAGGCTTCCCAGGCACACGCTGTAGTACAAGCAGAAATTCTTGTGAATGCTCTGCAGCCTTTTCCTCCATAGTTCAAATACAGTAGTGGGACAGAAAAATTTGCCAGTTTTACCTAAGTGAAAAAGACATGGTCACCTCACCATTTGCAATATTTCTTTTTATTTCCCTGGGCTTAGTATAGAAAATACCTTGAAAACTGGAAGGGGGAAAAAAAAATCCAAAAAATAAAAAATGTTAGCAGTTGCAAATCTTATCTTTATTTAAGGCATTCAGTAAGTTTTGGGCACCACCATCATGAGCTATATTTTTTTAAGGTGTGGTGAAGCAAAGAGAGTTTCTTAAATATTTCTATTTCTGTATGTTGCTGCCATCTGGAAAATTGGAGATGTTACTCATTGACATAAGTAGCAGGGTCTATTTCACAAAACGTCCATAGTATGCAATTCAATAGGACCCTCTAGATTCTTGTATATAAATCCAGAAGGAACCAACACTTTTGAGCTGGTAGGACTGTAAATGCCTTTCTGTTAAAAAACTTTTAGCTATAAAGTAAATACCAGTCTCTATTAAAAAAAAATTTGCTCCACTGATTTCAAATATTATATATAGAATAAAAGGCTATTGTGAATTACAAGGAATCCTATAATAGTTTATAGACTGTTTAGAATTCCTGTACAGAAATCTTATAACAATGCTATGCTTGATTAGCACCATAAAACACCTGTACGCAATTTTTAGTATTCCTGAAGGACAATTTTCTGATGGTAAATACAAACAGGCAGTATAACGATTTTTGTTTAGTTAGGAAAAAAAGTATGTCATTTATTTTTTTTCTATTAATTTTATTAAGTACAATGAAGGATTAATATATAACAGTTGCATTAGACATTTGGAAGTCGCTTTTTTGTGTTATTTTGGTGAATGAATTTACTAAGTTGTAATAAAGTGATTGCTGTGATTTAAATGACAGAGTAAAATTAGCTATTTTTATTACAATAAAATAGTATGTTTCTTGGCTGTTTGTTTTCTGCAATATATAACCTAGATCATTTTAAAATAAGATACATTAAGACATAAATGAGTCACATTATGACCAAAGTTACGTTAGTATAATGCCAGAGTAATACCATTGACTGCAATACAGCTACTTTATATGGGTGTAGTTGTATCAGGCTTGTACCTAGAGTAACAACAGAATCTGGCACCATTTATTTATTAAAGACAAACAAATTGCTGATGGAAAGAACATATATTTTACTATTTGTGATTAAGAATGTATACATCCGCTTTCATGTAGAAAATGTCTGTGGTGTTGACACTAGATTTTCAGTTGATTTTAATGGTAAGTGTAAAGATTCAATGAAGGAAACCATGAATTACAAACTCTTGAAGTAGGTGTCCAGCCTGTGTTACACAATGAGAGTCCAAGTGCAGTTAGGTATGTTGTGTTAAGAGGATCAGAAGATAACCAGCCAGTCAGCCAGTTTTTAGATGAATAAATATAGCCCTTGAGTGTGTTAATCTAGGTATGGGTCTAGGAAAAGTTGTGGTTGAGAACTAAATTCCCTGTAGATTTATCTGCTACAAAACAAACTCTTTGTGATGCTCTGATATCAGTATTCTGACAGTTTGTAAGATCACCTTAACCATATCTTTCTATTCCCAGGAGATGTGATGTTTCTGTGTCAGCTATGGCTAGAAATGGATCACTTGCTGATGACTTAGGGCTTGTCTACATTACTGGCTGGATCGACGGGCAGCGACCGATCCAGCGGGGGTCGATTTATCGCGTCTAGTCTAGACGCGATAAATTGACCACCGAGCGCTCTCCCATCGACTCCGGTACACCACCAGGGCGAGAGGCACAGGCGGAGTCGGCGGGAGAGCGTCAGCCATCGACTTATCACAGTGAAGACACTGCGGTAAGTAGATCTAAGTACGTCGACTTCAGCTACGTTATTCATGTAGCTGAAGTTGCGTAACTTAGATTGATTACCCCCTCCCCCGCCCCCAGTGTAGATCAGGCCTTAGTGGTTATGTTCCTCCTAGTCATAGGACATCAAATATTTGTTTTTATTAGATCTGCATGATAATGCAAAACATATTGCGGAAAGCAGTCCACAGATGCAATGTTTACTCATCTTCCATATTTTTGTTCTGAGGAACATATAGAATATGCATGTTCTTCCAGTGTGGATGTACACTTATTTTAATGATAACATTTTAAGTACTGTAAATTCAGGAAAAAAGCTCTTACTGACATTATTTTACCATGTTTTTAAATGGAAATATTTTGTAAAAAATTGTTTTAAAAAGTGAACAGTTAAAGGACTTTTCTAATATGGCCTACCGTAGATTTGAATTGCTTCAGCATGAGTTAAAACAGTACCAGATAAAGTACATAATTTGATGATAAATGTAGTTGCTTAGATGGATATTTTTCTGTGAAGTGCATTACTATGGAATTGTGCGTCAGATGCAGTAATCTCATTGCTGTTGAATAGCTGGTGTGTCTGTAACCCGTTTTCGATCTGATACTGTGAAACTGCTACTTGCCCTCGCACTCCATTTATTTTAGTGAGTGTTGAAAATGCTCAACGTCTCTCAGTGAGCAGGTGCACAGCACTTTTGAGGATTGGATCTATGGAGAAGAGCAAGTAGAGCATATGCAGGTATTGTTTTATCTGTGTGACCTGCACCTCCTCTAGCTCTCATCTCCTCCCTGGTCTGTTGACGTCTCCTCTTGTGTTCACCCTCTATGGCCTGATAGCAACACCAGCTGATTGTGATTGGATACCAGAGACTCTACACTGTAGCCTCTCTCCTTGATGGTTCTGTTTGAGGATGTTTGCATGGAACTGTCCACACAACAGTAATCTATATATTTATTAAAAATAGAGGGAAAAATATAATTAAAACAAAAGAAACCATTTGCTTAACACATCTATATTTACACTTCCCATAATCTAGATAGGGCATTCTCAGGTAAATTACAGAAGAAAAAAAGGGAAGAGTTGAAGAGTTTACATCTCTTGAAGGTAATCCCCTCTCTGTTAAGACTGACAGCCTCCCTTGCTCTCTAAATATCAATTCTTCTCTAATGTCTCCAGGACCTGCTTAACAAACCACTTTTTCCAGGTCAGTTTGCATGTTCCAATGTGGCTTTCCTAATCCAATAGAGAGAGAAGGTGGGTGAGGTAATATCTTTTATTAGACCCAGTTTGGTTGTAATGCTAAACAATCTGTTCTACCTTGCATTTAGCTGTGATGCTTGGAGTACCTTTCCCAGACCTGAAGAAGAGCCACAGAGGTGTGGCTCAAAAACTTGTCTTTCTCACAAACAGAAGTTGGCCCAATAAAAGATATTTCCTAATCCAGGGCAGTTACTCCCAATTTCCAAACCAGATTCCTCCATTTACCTGTGCACACAATAGAGTTTGGGAATTTGCTGCATTGGGAGATGGATCATTGAGGACATGAGGACTTGTTAATGATGATTAAGTGCTTAGTTGCCTAGCCCAATGACCACATTTCACAGAACCAGTTGTCTGGTCCTGTCTAGTTTTGGCCAAGCCTGTTGTTTAAAATCCATTCCGGAATTTTTTTTTCCTTTTGCCAAGAAATGAGAGTTGTGGACAGGTCCCCAGACCTTCTGTGATACCCTGAAGCTTTTTACTCTTAAACTCATTTATTTTAAATAGCTTGTGCAAAACTATTAAGCATGAGCTGCATTTGAAATCGTTTGTCTTAGATAATATTCACCTATCATGTTCTCAGTTGTTGATCAGGCTCTTCTTCAAATGGCAAAAGGATTAAAAATAAAAGGGTGCAAACATATCTGATACTAATCCTTCTAAAGATAATACAATCCACTTACCAAATGTATTACTGCTGATGGTGGATGTATAGTAAAGTGATAATTATTTTAAGACTCTTATGAAAGAATGTCTCTAGTCTTTTCTCATCAGTGCAATAGCCGTGTTATAAACTATCATATAAACTGAAGTTATTTATGTATAATAATAGTGTTTGGGTTAAGGGAACAACTTTGCTAATGAACCAAAGCTAATATTTATTCTCTGTGTTGTTTGCTATTTTCTCGCCTGTTCTTTTCCTTTAGGATGTCTGTAACACTGCTGTAGCTCTTCAAGAAGGCTTTGACAACATAATGGTAACCACACTGCTGTCTTCAACTTTTTTTTTCTTTTGCACAAACATGCATTTCTTTCAACGCACAAGCTGCACAATTTGCTGTAAATGAGAATGATATGCTTTGAGCTCCCCTGTTACTCAGATAGAGTATGTGCATGTGTGTAACTAGGGTGACCAGATCGCAAGAGTAAAATATCGGGACACATGGTGGGGGGGCAGCCACAGGCTCATAGCCCCCACCGGAACCATGGGGGAGGGAGGTGCACAGCCCTAGGAAGCTGCAAGGGGGGGGCGCACAGCCTGGATCCAGCCCCCCCTCCCCCGCAAGTCGCAGGGACGCATGGTCCCAGCTCCAGCCACAAGCTGCGGGTTGGGGATGCACAGCCCCAGCTCATGCCGCGGGTCGGGGGGCACATGGCCCCAGCTCCAGCCCCCACCGAATGCTGCGGGTCAGGGGGCACGTGGCCCCGGCTCCAGCCCCTGCGGAAACCACGTGTCTGGGGCGCACAACCCTGGCACCGACCGCATGCTACGGGTCTGGGGCGCACAGCCTAGGCTCCAGGCCCTGCTGCAACAGAGGAATCTCAGGGCTGGGGCAGTGAGTTGGGGCTTGGGACGTGGGTTTGGGGTGTTGACTCCGGGAGGGAGTTTGGGTGCAGGAGGAGGCTCGGGGCAGGGGTTTGGGGTGCGGGAGGAGGTGCGGATTCTGGGTGGCGCTTACCTCAGGCGGATCCCCGGAACCCTCTGGGTCCTAGGCAGAGGCGCAGCTAGGTGGCCTTGCGTGCTGCCTCGCTGGCAGGCGCCACCTCCACAGCTCCCATTGGCTGTGGTTCCCAGCCAATGGGAGCTGCAGGGTCAGCGCTCATGGTGGGGGCAGCATGCAGAGCCCCCCTGGCTGTCCCTGTGCCTAGAACCCAGAGGGAGATATTGCCACTTCCGGAGAGCTGTGCGTAGCCAGCCAGGTAGGGAGCCTACCGACCCCATGTCAACTGGAGGCCTGGCAACCCTACAATATTGGGACAAATGGCGTCCCGATCATACATCGGTCGGGACGCAGGACAGAGAGTTCAATATCGGGACAATCCCGATTTTATCGGGATGTCTGGTCACCCTATGTGTAGATTACATATACACATGCACACATGGAGTGTTCCTTTATGACAAATGTTTCCAATAACTTTATCATTCGTTTATTATTTTCTTGTTTTAAATATTTCATATTTTTTGTTCTAAAAGGTTAAAAGAGAGATGTTTCTGATGCCACACGCATCTAAGCATGACCCATATCTTCACATACTGCCCATATCTTCATGCTGATTGCTGGTTTTGTTGCAGTTTTTACCTTCCAACTCCTCCCTGCTTTGAGCTTCTATTATGCCAGTTTTAATCATTTAGTAAAATGAGACTTATGGGATTCTGCAACAGTGTTCCCAGTACTGCTCCATGGACTGAATGACAGATGAGCTGTGAAAGTAGTGTGGGCAACATGCTTCTCAGCACCCTATTTCATGCCATCAGATATTCCAGAGAAGCACTTAATTCTATTCCATAAGTGGATAGTAGTTCTGCCATTTCATCAATGGAAGCAGAGTTCCCCCTTGTCCCTCTGTACTTGAAGCCTCCAAAATGCTTGTGATCTCGGATCTCATGTATGCATGGACTGTGCACTGCACTGCTGTCATATTACTGAGCCACCTCGGAAAGCAAGTTTTATAATAAATGTATTTTAGATTTTGCATCAAGTAAAAAAAACTATCAGTATAGCATGTTGACATATGAGTGCTAAATATTGAAACATAAACCCTTATCCCTGTTTCAGAAGTTAGAAGATAAATGATGTTTCATGATAAATATAGTGGGTAGCATATTTAACATTTTTGTATTAATACTGAGTTTTTATCAGAAATTAGAGAAAATCATATACATTTTCTAGCTAACCTTTTATGAAAGGATATTTTGTCTCTGGGATGTCTATTATCCAAGGGCCAGGCTTCAATAGGGCATAGCTCCCATTTAAGCACCAAGATAAATGGCCAAGTTTTCAAAAAAAATCTCAACATGTTACGTGGTCTATTAAAGCTGAGGTCTTTTAAAAATCTGCCTACAAGTGTCACAGTGGGGACCTTTTGAGTGCTGAGCACCTTTGATAATATAACATTTAAAATTTGGAAAATCTGACCTAAATGGCTTGTGAATTGACATGTTGTCAGCAGACAAGGGGTAAAATCCGGACCCTGTTGAAGTCAATAAGAGTTGTGGCCATTGATTTCAATGGGGCCAGGAATTTCACCTGAAATAATTTTTTTAAAAATTAATAAAATTAATTGATTAAAAAATTAATCTATTGCTGTGGCTTGGTGAGGTTCACATTCTAAAAGCTGTGTTGATGGCTTGTAAGGCATTATTGATCGGGAAAGTTAAGTTTCAAAGTTGGTTGCATGCCATACTTCCCATCCTGGGGAGCACCGTTTATGTTGGTAAAGCATTCATTGACAGAGAGACAAACTAAATCAATCTTTGTAAAAATATCTGCTGGATGCTGTGATTTTAATATTTTATACATTTGCAATAAATATTTTTATTTACTAGAGACTTGGCAGCAAAGGGATATAGTTTGGCATCTGGGCAGTTAATAAAACAAGCCTAGATTTATTGTGGGCATACAGTGGAGTCTTTCCTTTTGTACAAATGAATCAAACCGTGATATTTATAGTCGAAATAAGTGTTACTGTTTTACTTTCTGTTTCCAAACACAGATTTTGTTGCCAACCTGGCTGAGGTAGCTCAGGCTGCTTAAATGGTCTGTGTCAATTCTATTGCCTTACTATAAAAGATAACTTCTGACCACACAACTTACCAGACAGTGTATTCAGTTCAGTTCCAGTTGCAGTGAGCTTTGCTGCATTTTATTTTATATGTGATCAGATCATAAGATAATGTTACTACTGTAAGCTTGCATCGGCTCTCAGTAGTGCTCATTTTTGTTACATGCTTGCACAATTCCATTTCTCACCAATTAATTTGCATGCTGTTTACTCCTGACTAAATAATGCCTGTTCTGATAAGCCTTTAGAATTTATCAAAAACAATCACAGAATTCTTGCTCACAGCATTGGAATTTTCCCTGTGGTTGCCTGCTATTCTGGATAAAGTTGATTTGTATCCTGCCTAGCGAATAGCTTTTTGTTTTAAAGTTCACTTTTGCCTATACCGATAGCTCTTGTCTGACCTAATGCCTTATTGCTCAAGTAGTACCCCTTAGTCTGTTGTCCTAAATAAAAATATGCTCGGCTTTGAAACTCATAAAACATAGCCTGCTGGGCTTCAGATTGTACCTTTTAATTGTTGAGAAAAGTCTGCGTATGAATTTTGTGAACAAGAGTAATTAAATTTGGGGGTTCCTGCCTACAACTTGGTTGTGTCTGTGAAATCATGCGTCTAGTCAGCATTTTCTTCATGAATTAGGGCTCAATCCAACTCCCACTGAAGTTTATGGAAGTGTTTCCATTGATTTCAGTGGGAGTTGAATGGGGCCATTATTAAATGAGGACAAAATTCCATTCTCCATTGACTTCATTGCCAGTTGGACATATTTATCAGTAGAAGAACCAGAAGCAATGATGACAAAGGGCTGACACATTCCACTGAACCCCTAGAAAAGAATGTGGGCATCTGGTTCAGGCCTTGAGCCCTTTCTGCTGCTCTTTTCCCAGGTTACAGTACAACCAACCCCAGGTTTTCAGGGGGTTGGGCTTTGTCTGGCTCTCCAGCCAAACTCAGTTACCCCTTCTCAGGGTAATGTCTCTGTGACGGGGTTCCCTGGACTGTGGGACTGCTGAGCCCTCTGTACCACCAACCTGGGGTATCGCTCTCCCATTGTGATACTATTGTTAAGCCACAAACCTTTGGCAGGTGCTGCACTTACACAGACATCCATAGGCAGGGACACACCCATCTGAGTTACATGAATGCTTTGCCAGTCACTCATGAACCAACAATAGAGAGCCCCCAGCCAATTCCCACGCTGCTCCCCATCGTTGTATCCCAGAACTGTACCGTCTTTCCCTGGTCAGAAGCCTGACCAGCGTAAGTTCATTACCCAGTCTGCACCTTCCTTTGTGTGGAGAGGACACACACTAGCCTTTGTAAACTGAGCTGAGATTTCCCAAGCATTTCAACCAAAACACACTGTTTTAGGTAAAATTAAAACAGATTTATTAAAGTGATTATAAGTAACAAGCGTAGAGATCAAAGTTGGTTACTTAAGAAACAAAAATACATTTGCAGTCTCAGTTCTACAAACTAGACAGGATTTGAATCAAACAATGCCTCATTCTGACAGCTGGGGTAAAACCACCCTTTCCAGTTCCAAGTCTTTGTCCTCCAGACATTTCTTCCAGGTGTTGAGTTGGAGGAGGGGAGAGAGAGGTCAAGTGATGATGTCACTTCTCTTCTTTTATAGTTTATTCCAGCTTGCTGGAAAGATCCATGCTTGTGACGTGGGGGTCCGCCCCCTTTGGTCAAGCAGTGTCTATTGTCTACATGCTCTCTCTGAGAAGTCTTCTGGGATGGCTGTTGGGAGAAGGAATTCCTTTTAATCGGCCATCAGCACATCTGGCTACTCCGTTGCTGCACCTGAAAGGCTGGTTGTGAGTGTTCCCAATCTCACAACATATTTCAGTAACACACACATAGCAAAACTTCCTAACTTTAATATAATGATAGCACGTACAATCCAACAGGATATTAATGTTCAGCCAATCAACACTTTTAAAATGATACCTCACAAGGCATACTTTGTACAAAACATAGCCTAATTATATGACAGTGGTGAATATGGGGGTACCGGGGGCTGCTTTGAGGTATAGAGTGTCACAGTCTCTCTGTGCAGAGTCCACTCAGACCGTACTGATCTCTTTATGCCCCAAGTCTGTTTTCCTGACGATTTTGTGGCAGTGTCCAAATAATAATTAAACTTAGGGCTGGTCTACACCCAGCCGCTAGTTCGGCGGCTGGGGGTCGAAGTTCTGGGTTCGACTTATCGCGTCTGGTCTGGACGCGATAAGTCGAACCAGGAAGTGCTCGCCGTCGACTGCAGTACTCCAGCTCGGCGAGAGGAGTACTGCGGAGTCGACAGGGAGCCTGCCTGCCGCGTGTGGACCGCGGTAAGTTCGAAGTAAGGTATGTCGACTTCAGCTACGTTATTCACGTAGCTGAAGTTGCGTACCTTACTTCGACTTGGGGGGTTAGTGTAGACCAGGCCTTAGGCCTGTTTATTTATTTATTTTTGTATATATTTACTACCACATTTCAATAGTTTGTATAGTTTCCAACAATGTGACTATTAACAGGATGAGAGTGAGTGATAAAGAAAAATTCCTGTTGCTCTTGAGGCAGTATCTCCAAGTGGCGTTACTCTTTGTCTCACTGATGGCACTCATGGCAACATTGCTATTGGCAGTACATTATTGTCCAGGTGACTTTGAATGATAGTGCCGGTGTTTTGCTTGTATGTGGTGATAACACATCTGATGTTTTCTTTTTCTTTTTGGGCTTTTGGTTTTTGTTGGTTGGTTGATTTTTGGTTGGGGAAAGTGAAGCTCAATGCAAAGTCTGAATGAAAAGCTTCGAACCTTAAAGCTCCTGTAATTTTAGTTATGTCTGCAAATGTTTGGTGGCTTGAGTCCTTGGGCCCAGATTTTTAGTATTTAGGTGTTGCAGTGCTCAGTGTTGCAACCCCTAACTGATTTAGGAGCCCAAATCTCATTTTCAGAGGTGATTTAGGCACTGAGGAACTTAAATTTTATCTACTGACAATGGGATTTAGGCTCCTAAGTGCCTAAATCCCTTTTGAAAATGAGACTTAGGCTCCATAATCACTTAGGGGTTGCAATGCTCAGCACAGCAACACCTAAATACTCTAAAAATCTGGGCTGTAGTGACTCGGACAATTGTCCAATTAATCTGTTTGAGGCTTCAGAATCTCAGAAAAAATATATGTTTCATTATACTTCTCTCAGTTTTTCACTTGCAAATTGGTGTCCTGCATGATCTTGAATTTGTGCCCAACATTAATATTTTCTTCATCATTCTTCCCTTCAGAACCTGTATACGAGTGGCAATTTAAATCTTTTAGTGTTTTGTTATTTGTCAGGGACATCCCCACTAACGTGTTCACTTTTGAAAATTAAATTGTAATGAACTCTGCTATTGCACCACTGACCTCACTTGCTTGGGTGCATTTAGTTTGTATGGACTCTAACTGGTTGTCACAATTCATATACTTACATATAGGAGACAATTTAAAATCATCATATGGGGGTCTTTATGAGCAAAAGCGCTCCATGTGTTTTCAGTCTATACTGGAAATGGTTGCATTGTCTGTCTGCCTATTCGATAGGTATTTATATTTCACCATAATATTTGAGCACCTTATGATAATCATAGTCCTTTATTTTCATTGTTTGCGCTTTCTGTTATGAGGAGTAGTTCTTACAATAATTGATCATAATGGCTTCAGAAAGTTATTCTTTGCATATTAAAGTGAGTGATTTTCAGTGTATTGATACGTCTCCTGCATAATTCAGTGCACTGCCCTCAAGAATTTATTACCTTTTTAATCCAGAAGGGCCAGTTGTATTCCAGACCTTGTTTTTAAGTTATAGCCTCTCTACTGACTTGATGATTGTTGATTTTTTTCACTGCACTGCTGTGCTTACAGTAGTGTTTCTGAGCTGAACAAAAGATAACCTTTCTTACCACCACCACCTCCTCCCCCAGACAGATGCAGATGCACATATTGCTCAATGGTCAGTTCAGTATCAGAAAACAGAATTTTCTTGAAGGAAAAAGCTTGGAAACTGGTTAATTCTGTTAATGAAATAAGTGTAAGACTTAACTGCATGAGCTGTTTGGGTCCATGGACAGAAACAGAAAGACTTTGATGTAGAATAAGCAGATTTTATTTGATTTGTACTTTGTCTTTCAGGGCCAGCCAATAGATCAGGCTGCTATTTTCGCTCAGCAAGTACATCCTTCTTCCCAGCTTCCACAGTACCCAGGGTTACAGCAGGCACAGGTACTAAGCTACTCCTATGGAACATTTGCTACAGGCTGTAAGGTATACACATGAAATTCACCGCAGTGCAGAGGGTCCAAGCAGTGCCCTACATCCCATTTAAGACTTTCATTAAAGGCTTAATTGGGACTTAAGTAGTGAGTCTTAGAATTTCACCCTGAATGAAAAGTTATTGACACTTCTCTAGTTCCTGCATAGTTTAGTCAAACAAATCTTCTTGGCAGGCTTCTAATCTTTTTCTAATGATCTGCCTGTAAAGTCCATGTGTACTGCGGTATTGAGTCTGAAATCCAGCCTGGTTAGAGTGAGGTTGGGATCACTGACTTTGCTACCCTCATTGTGTCATCATGATGCTACTGTTACCGAAAAGAAGTGTTGGTGCTGAAGACCCCAGGCACCACTCCTGATTAAGCACTGAATAACTAGGCAAGATTTAAATTAAAAACGGAAATGAATGTGTTCACACTGCAGCTGAGTGGGCCTATTAGAAAAAGAGAAAAACACTATTAAAATATAAGAGTAATTGTTGTTTGGTATAATTAGACAGCGGAATGTTTTACTGAGGGCTCCATTGTCCAGATTTTGCTTTTTAATAAAGGTTACTTTTTTTTCTTTAATGGCTTAAGGAGATGAACATGTGGCCTTTGTTAAATTGTACCATGGGCTGTTTTCCATGCAGACTGTGCCTCATGGATACACAATGTACGGTACTCAGATGCCTTTGCAACAACAGCAGGCTGGTGGTGTAGTGCTTTCACCCAGCTACAACCCCAGAACGTATCCAGCAACTCATTCCAATCCAGCTCTAATGGAAAGACTAAGACAGATGCAACAACAGCCAAGTGGGTACATTCAACAGCAGGCTGCTGCTTATATTCAGCCTTTAACAGGCACTCAGCGGTAAGGCTTTAAATGTTCTTCTGATTTATTATATCACAGGGACTTTGCGGTCTTGATATATAGCTCTAATACTTGATTTAAAATTATGTCCATTAATCAGAATGAGGTTAATGGCGAGTCTTGCTGCTGTTACGTTTGTTCTCCTTCCCACTTCCCACCCATTGTTTGTTACAGTCACTTGTTGCTTCTTGTTTTCAATTACAGTAGAACCTCAGAGTTATGAACACCTTGGGAAAGGAGGTTTTGCGTAACTCTGAAATGTCCGTAACTCTGAACAAGATGTTATGGACTTCGACCACCGTGGTGGAGGGGTTGGGGCTGCAGCCGCAGGGTATGGGAGGGGATGGACAGGGCTCTGGGCAGGGGTAGGTCAGGGCTTCTGACCCTCGGGAGCACCAGGACTCAGGGCTTTAGATCTGGGGGAAATGCTGGGGCTCAGGGCTTCAGCCCTGCAGCTCCATTCCCGGCTTCTGCCTTTGGGGGGCACCGTGGCTTGGGGCTTCCCACAGTTTCACTCCCAGTTTCAGTTGGGTGGGGGGTGCCGGGGCTCGGGGCTTTAGCTACTGGGGGAGTGCTGGGGGTGAAACCGGCGCTCCCCTCGTAGCTAAAACCCCGAGCCCCGTCATCCCCCACGGGGCTGAAGCTGGGAACGGAGCCACGGGGCTGAAGCCCCAGTGCTCCGGAGGGTCCGAAGCCTTGACCCCATCCCCTTCCCGGAGCCCTGACCCCCCTCACTCTGCAGCTGCAGCCCTAACCCCACCCCGGCTAAAATCCTGAGCCCCATGGCTAGAGCCCTGAGGCAGTAAAGTATTTGCCTTTTGTGTGTGTGTGTCTCTCTCTGCTGCTGCCTGATTACTTCCAGTTCCAGAGGGTGTCCATTCGGTCAAGAACTCCGTAACTGGTGTTTGTATCTTTGAGGTTCTACTGTAGATTGTAAATTGTTTGGGCACAGACTGGGTCATCCTCTGTATTGGTGCAGCATCTGCACAATGGAGCCCTTATGTATATAAGTGCATTTTGGATCCATAGTACACAGAGAATTTACCAAGGTGTCACAATACCATAATCTGGTTTACATGCATAAATCCTGCAGGATCCATAGGGAAATAAATGCTGGAAAGTCTAGGAAACACAAGATCTGCTCATTCATTGAACTAGCAAAGGGCACTTTTATTTTGCTTATGTTTGAATGCACTAGATCATCACTAGTTTGAAAGTTCAGCTCAGATGTAGTGGCATTTATGTTCTGCCTAGGAGAGACTGTCAGAGGAGTAGTATTAAGGGGAAGAAGGAAAAATCAAGAGGGGAAAATGGAACAGAAAGCAGGCAGAGTGGATGGAAATTAAATCAATGGAGAGATGGGGAAAGAGGGAAATTCTAATGAAAATATAGGCTGGGATTTTCAAAAGTGCCATGTGTTGGCCTAACTCTGCTCCTATTGAAGTCCCATGAGAGTTTTACCATCAGCTTCAATAAGAGCAGTGTTAGACCCAGGGCCGGCTCCAGGGTTTTGGCCGCCCCAAGCAGCCAAAAAAAAAAAAAAAAGCTGCGATCGTGATCTGCAGTGGCAATTTGGCGGGAGGTCCTTCGCTCTGAGCGGGAGTGAGGGACCGTCCGCCGAATTGCCGCCGAATAGCTGGACGTGCCGCCCCTCTCCGGAGCAGCCGCCCCAAGCACCTGCTTGCCAGGCTGGTTCCTGGGGCCGGCCCTGGTTAGACCAATGCCAAGTGCTTCTGAAAATCCCACTGCCACAGTAAATACCAGCCAGTCACTTGTGCCAGCCTAGTTTTTAGAGCGCTTTTCTGTTCCTAATATGGAGCACATTTTACTCTTCAATTAGAAATGCACATTTTTATCCAAATGTTCCTTGAAAAAACAAGTTAAATTATAGGTGTGAAAGTTTCGCAATTGTTCAAAATTGTTTTGAAAACAAAAAAAGTTTTCAAGATTTGCAAAATCTCAGTCTCTACAAATTTATCTATCCCTAATTGTGATGGGATAGATATGATTCAGAAGCCTGTTTTTAAAAGGACTCTTTAAAAGTCTTCCCACGCTTTGTTGAAAGCATCTCTGAGGTCACGTTAACTGCAGGGACTTGAGGATAGAATAGTTGTTTGGCTTTCTTTTGCTGCAGATGTTATGTTTCAAAGTCAACATGAAGCACGTTAATTCCATTTCTTAGTTATATCAGTCATCACAGTCAAAATGACTAATCTGAACCAAGGTTTTAGAGACTAACACATGTACAATACCTGATTTTAATCTTGTATAATATGCTGATTTGGGTATTGTAGAGCATTCTCAAACTCTAAGAATAAAGCTTCATGTTTGACCTAGGACTATAAAATATTTCTAAAATATGCTTCATAACTTATGGCCTGATGCAGCTTCCAGTGAAGTCAATGGCAGTTTTCCTGTTAATGAGATAGAATGGGTTAGTGGATAAGGCACTGAACTGGGCATCAGGATTCCTGGATTCTGTCACTAACCTGTTGCGTGACCTTGGGCAAATTGTTTCCCCTTCCTTTCCTCTGTTTCCTCTTGCACACTTTGATTTGTATTTTTAGACTGTAAAGACTTTGGGGCAGGGACTGTCTTATTATGTGCTTGTACAGATATTGCAATGCCATGCAGTATCTTTGAGAACCACTGTATTAAATTTATGAATGATGTATGTAGGTTTGTTTCCTACTCCTTGGGAAGGGTTATCACAGCTCCGATAGGAACTAAAAACAGTAGGGGGAGACTACCCCTGGGGCTGTAAACAACTTTGGAGAAGCACTAGCTCCTGGGATTTGCATATGCTGGTTCAGGCTGGGTTTGTCACTGACTAAGCAACAAAGAGAAAATGTGGGGTATTTAAAGGGTGAGTTTAAACAGACTGAGGGCCTTCTTTCTGAGTGAGCATACGAACAGGATTTTTGAAGGATAGGAAGGGGTTCTGGCCTACCATGCTCCCCATGTGGAAGATCGGCAAATTCTGGTATGCTTAGTAAGTCTTTAGGAAGTTTTCTTTATGTGTTTTCTCTGTGATGCTTTGCCCTAACAATAAATATATTCTGCTGGGAAAGAGCTGTGTAGTAGCATATAACTGCTGCATGTGCTAGTCATTCTCCGAGGCAAGACAGCAAAGCATGGGCACTGGCCATTAGGCAGACTGGCGTGCTGGGGATATCACACTGTATAGCAGGGAGCTGTACAGCTTTAAACCCTGGTCAGAAAGGAGTGGGACACGGGCCCCTTCCCAAAGACAGATCATGGCTGGAGGCCTGAGACCTGACTGGGTACTCCGGGGGGGAGGGGCATGGAGGTGAGGGGAGTACGGGGCAGTTATCCTGAAAGTGTGATACCTAGCCCAAAGGTGCTCCTGTAAAAATAATAATAATTAATAATAACCTCAGTGGGAGTTGCATAGGTCCACAGGATAAAATAAAAAAGGCTTGTTGCTGGTTTACATAAACTTTTGCATTCATGAACTTTTCTATTTTTCAGTAGGTGAACTGATTGCTTAGAAAAACTAAGTAGCTATCAGTCCTGGCTAAAGACACTATTTTAAATATATTGTAGAAACAAATATATAGGTATTAAAATGTTGTATTTTTAATTTTACCTTAAAACTTAATTTTTATCATGACATGATCTCAGAATCAGTATCCTTTCTGTTCCCAGTGGTGGGAATGCTAGCTGCATTTCAGGTTCCAGCCTCATGCCCATCAGCCAGACACTCCAGAGATCTCTCCAACAGGGTGGGCATTCTGAGGACTTGATATATTTCAAATCATGCAAAAAAATATGCAGGAAAAAACGTAACCACTGCTTCCCCCAACTTAATAAAAAATAAAAAGTTTAAGGCCATTTTTATGCACACCAATGGAACAATAAAAGGCATTTTCTAAATCTCTTTCTGCTGGGATTTTCAAAACAGCCTAGGAGAGTTAGGCACCCAGATTCCATTAAAATTCATTGGGATTTAGATCTTCAGTTCCCTTTGGCTCCTTTGAAAATTCTAGCCTGATTGGAGTGGTGCCAAGAGGCCCTGATCAGGATCAGGTCTCGTTGTGCTTGATGCTGTACAAATAGAAGTAGAACAGTCATTGCCCTGAAGTGCTCTCAGTCTGTTCTGCTTCACATTTCACTTTAAATGTCCTCAGCATTGTTAAAAATTGTAATCCTGGCCCATGCATTGTAGAGTAACTGATTTTTATCCTTAAGGTTAAATATTCATTTTTTCATCTCAGCAACAGCATCAAGCTTGTGTCCAACTTTTTCTTCTGTTGGGGAAGAGATAATTTCCATCTTCTGATGACTGCATGGTGGGCTGCTAACAACAAAGCATTAATCATCTTGGATTTGTTACAAAAATGGCCAAGCCTTGGCCATGTTCCAAAACTAACTATCCTGTTAGGGAAATGAATTGTCTCCCTCTGTGTCCAACCAATGAGAGATCTCCTAATTTGGGTGGATTTACAATTTTTACTGTAACTTTGGCGTGTCCTTACCTCGCCTGCTTCTTATTACTAAATTACACCACAATTGGAATACACTAACCACAGTTTTATTTAATCAATTTACAAATAAATAAGCATTAATCTTCATGTCGAAATCCAGCTCATGCACACCATGAGAACATGTCCCACACTGAATTCTATCTCACATATTCTGGAGTAACACTGATTTATCAGTTAGGCAGCAGGGCATAGGTTGTTATTCCCTATCACACATGATGTTCTTCTTTCTCTATGTGAATTCAGTTCTAAACCATCCGCAGACTAAAACACCCCTTTTGAGGCCAAATTTCATGTGCCTAAATCACTTCCAATTTAGGCACAGCATCATATTATTATGGGGGGAAATTAAAAAATATTTAGCGTGTTCAAAAATCAGTTTAATCTAGGACTACAGACACGAATGTGTATTAATCAGAGTTGTACATTTAATGCATGGTGTTGCTGGAGGGCAGAGTTAAGGTTGTTTGAGTTGTGCATTTCCATACTTTAACAGGCTTGGATTTCTTTTAAGTTTAAGCTTAACTCTGAATGTCCTGGGTTTATAATGCTTGTTTTGGGGATAATTACATCATCCTCGCAATGTTTTTATTCCAAAATACTGATATTCTCAGCCTCAAGTTCATCTTAACATGGTTTTTGTCTAGAACAAAATTGTAAGGCTGGTGCAGTTCTACAATGAATGTTACATGCAGTGTAGAAGCTGGCTGCTCATTCGAACTCAGAAGAGTTGAATAGCTGGATTTCTTCTCTTTAGTTTAATTAATATACAGATATTGATTTCAACAACATATTACTATCCAGTTCAGTTATTAGATTATAGCACTGTAGATGTTTCCATTGGATACTTTTTTCCTAAATATTCTTGCTTGAAAATACAATCTTCCTGTAAAACTTGTGTTTCAAATATACAAAGAACACATTTTAATCCAGGGAGTTGAACACTCACACTTATTTGATCTTTGTCTGTAAATTAAATAGTTACCCTGAAATAGATTCTTCTCATTCAGACTGACTCATCAGCCTTTGCAACAGAGTTCCTTGGTTGGAGGGGGACTTGATACTGTACCAACCACAGCTCCTCACCCAAACCTTAACTCGGTACAGCTGCCTCAGGAACAGATGAGACAGAGACAACAGCAAATTCGACAACAGCGACTCCTTCAGGTGGGGCACTTGGTTGTGTTTGAAAAGTGTATGTGGGGCCTTATTCTCTGAATCAGGTAGTGGCTTTAACCTGGATCTCCCGTGTCACAGGTGAGTACCTTAGCTGCCATGCTGTGGAGTCAATCTCTCTCTCTCTCTCTCCTGCCCTCTAGTCCAGTGAATATTTAATTATTTATACGAAGTGGAAGAGTTCCAACAGGAGAGATTGAGAGAGACCTATCCCAGAATAGTCAATAGCCTTGTGGTTAGGGCCCTAATCACTGGGCCATTGGCTATTTTGGGATCAGTCTCTCTCTTGTTTTCAACAGAAATATCATCCTGGACCTGAGAAACCTTCCCAGTGAATCAGCATTTTTCAGCATAAAACTAATTTGTCAAAAGATTTGTGTTGAGCCTTTTTTCCTCTCCAGTAACTTCCTCTGTGCCTCAGGATATTGAGCTGTGACAATCGCAATAATCAACACACACAATTTATGGTTTTAGGTTATTACAGTATTATTTGACTATAAGAATATGTATATGTCAGAATTAAAGTTGGGTGGAAAGAGCCCATGTCTATAATATTTTCGATTATTCTGATTTGTTGATGTACCCCAATTTGGTAGTTAACTCTGTTTGGCAGTTAAAAACCAAAACACCACACTGGGGTTGACATAGAGGTAAAAGCAACACATATTAAAAATACTTTGTGTTTTTGGTAACGGTATAAATCTTTTCATGCTTTAACTCTAATGCCAGTAACTAATTTTTTAAAATATTATGGATAAACTTATGTGGGCATACAGTTAACAGCTGACTATACCAAACAGATAGCCTTTTAATCTGTTTCCTCAATATGTTTCTTCGATAGATATTATGAACACTGTATTGTAAATATTTGTTGTTCATCATCCATGATGTGGCCGGCATTGTGCAAATGGAGAGAACAGTAGGGTTCAGCTCCTAAATATTATAGTGAGGAACACGCCTTCCTCAACCAACACTAAAAGCATACAAAAATCATAGCTTAGAAAGATAAGTAATGAAAAGCCAAATTCCATGATATGTATCCCTGGAACAGCGCGAGGCTGCTATGCCTTCTCAAATAAAAAGGCTGCCGCTGCTGTTGTTATTGCTATTAATCATTTATATAATATAATACATGTATACATATTATTGTTGTTACCATGGCAATGTTCTTTCAGTTGCAGCAGCAGCAGCAGCAACAGGGTCAACAGCAGGCACTTGGTCTCCAAGCAGTGCAACCACAGCAGCCTTTGGTAAGCAGACATATTAAAACCAGACGTTTTTGTGTGGGTATGAGGGTACTTATGGGGTAGATGTTATTACTCCTGGAAGTAAAGCAATCTAGGAACAGCGCCAGTAAGTGTTGTATAAGCTTACTCAGACTACTCTGCCTTTGCATGTCAGTGCTGATGTGCACAACTCTGTAGTTTCGTCCATGGTCCTCTCTGACAATCTTGCCAAATGGAGTGATAGGTTTTCTGATGTGGCTAAGACAGGTTACCCAATGACTATCTTTTCTTTTTTAATATAAAGACCAAATTTGAACATGTGTCATGAAGCATAAGGCTTGTGTATTAATCCTTTGCCCCACCTGGTCTACCTAAAACTCAGCATTTTAGTTTGTCTTTTAAAAACACTAGTTCTAGGACTGGTGTACCATGAACTACCCAGTTACCCCTAGATGTCAGTGTTCAGTTATATTGGGAAAGTTGGATCTGCTCTTGCTCACGTCAAAACTGTTGGATAGATAATTAATGATGCCTACTTCTGCCAATCTGGAAACTTTCGTGAGCACCAAATTCATTTAATTATTTTAAATTCATTAGTTCGTAGGCTCTGAATATAGTGTGTGTGTGTGTGTGTGTGTGTGTGATGATCATGATCAGCCTGAGTTTGGGATGGCCATATTGCTCAAATGCAGTGATTATACCTTATCCATGCTGATAAATCCTATATATTGCACCAAATTATCTTAGATTCGGTATATGCCACATACTTAAAAGAAACTTTGTTTCTGGAAATGTTTGAGAATTTTTTAAAAATGTAATTGGAACTCCCTCTGTCTTACTTTTATTTCATTCCCCCTGTAAAACCAGGGTGCTGAAAGGCCATGAATCCTATTATGCAGACTTGGAGACAGAGATAAAAATATAACCAATACATTTTAAAAACCTCTCAAATTCTTATTTGGATTCTAGACATTAAAATGTCACTATTTCAAGCTCTGGTATAACAGCAAGGGCTGGTGTAATATTGGAGAACTGGGAATCTCTCCATTCCAGGGCAGGGCCGCCGAGAGCGGGTTCGGGCCCCGGTGAAAAAAATTTTTCGGGCCCCCCAGCAAGGGCGGACCAGCTAAACAGGGCCGACGAGAGTGGGGGGAAGCCGGGCCCTGGGCCCCCTTCCGGACCGGCTAAACAGGGCCGACGGGGGGGTGGAAGTCGGGTGCCAGGCCCCCTTCCAGACCGCCGGGCCCCGGTAATTTGTACCATATTCCCCCCCCTCCCCTTCTCGTCGGCCCTGCTCCAGGGTGTAAACCGATCATTTATTAGCCTAGAAGGAATGAGATATCTGAACTTAACTTTTACTGCAGCAGCATATGTTGACCATATATTCCATATATACCACGTATTTTATAAATTTCCTCATGTTATTGAGTAATAAAGAACTATCTTCACTTGCTATGAGAACTCTACTTTACGGGAATTTTTTTGCAGCATTGCTAATGGTTGTAGCCCTACATTTTTATACGGATTTTTGTTTTAAAACTTTTATGTGAAAGCAGGATAATGTCAGGACCATCCTTAGGCATACACAGCATACGCGGTTGCGTAGGGCACCCGAAAATTTGGGGCACCATTCCCCTTACTGGCCGTGGCTGAAATCCTCTCTTCTCTGGCCCCTCTCCCACGCTCAGCCGGCGGGCTTCTCCCCGCCCCCTCCCTCGCTCGCTCCTCAGCCAGCCGGCTGAGGGCTCCAGCCTCCGCCTCTGCCGCCCCAGCCCCGGGGAGCCCAGAGCGGCGCAGCCAGTCACTGGCGCCACAGCCCACCACCGCCCGGAGCGGAGTCCCTCCCTGGACCCTGCCTGCCTTGAGCCACTGCGTACGAAGCTCGGTGTGTCAGCAATGGGGGGAGGGGTGTTCTGGGGGTCCATGGGTGGGGGTGGTGGCTGTGCCCCCTCTACACACTGGTCAGCGGCCTGCTGGGGAGCATAGGGGCACCAGTTTAATAATACTGCGTAAGGCCCCATAAATCCTAAGGATGGCCCTGGATAACGTATATGATTGAGGCCGATTGTGAAACTGTGTGTGCACTCTCATATGAACAATAGAATCCAGTTAGAATTCTAAGGCACTTTATATTTTCCTTTGACAGTTTAAATATATTTGTATTATATTTACTTAATTTTATGGGCTCTTCTGGTGGCTAATTTTAAACAGTGAAAATTCCACTATCATATTTCATCAAAAACTGCAGTTTGTAGCTCTAAATATGACTCTAGTACAGATAAATGGGTTTAAATCCCGTAGAAGTTGTTTTCTTGATATACTGCTAATGTGAGCCAATTGGTTAAAATATAGTCACTCTCTTGTACTTTTGTAACTAAGATATAGCTGCTTGTTGGCTGACATTTCAATGTGTATAAAAAAGGATCTGTGGCCGAACACTCTGGAAGGCTGTTCTGGTGTTTTTGTGGGGAGCCAGAACAGAGTAATGGCATAGTGCCGGAAGTGTGTTCTAGCACTTCTTTTTTTGTTTGTTTGTTTGTTAGGACTTGAGCATATAGTAACTCTGTTCAATATGGCTAAAGTAACTCAGAGTTAACACTGCTTTGGGACCATGGTTGAGGACAGCCTAGTATCACCTGCCATGGCCTTCAAAGCACTGGATCTTCTTTGTATTTTCTTGACACTGAAATACATCTCCCTGCAATAAGCACAACACAATGCTCTACATAAAATAGATTTGTAAACAATTAAAATGATCTTTTGTGCCCTGAGAGTTTTTCAGGGTGACTGAAAGGTGCTTCTGAAAAGGAGGAGAAAGCTTCTTTTGTCTCCTGTGAGCCCAGGAGGCTTCTGAATCCGACCCAGACCCACAATGAAGAGAAACTTCCTAGCTTATTCAGAAGGACCATATTGGTTCCCAGAGGCTCAGTCTAATCACTGAAAGGACCCTTTTTAAAAAAATTTCATTTGGTCTAAGCATAAGGAAAATTACCCTGTTTTGTTGTTTACCATTTGCATTAGGCTGCATGAAGCTGGGACTTGAAACATTTTTCTTTTGTAACCTGGTTTACAGGGGTCATGACACCAAATTCCAAGAGTGGGTGGCGTGGCAGTTCTATTACAATATTTCTTTTGCAAAGCCTTTCACACCAAAGATATCCTTACTAAGGCTTTGTCTACACTACACAGCTTTTAGCGACACGGGCAGACTCCTGTGTAGAAGGGCTAGGGAAGCAATGCATGTTGATGGAAAGACTAATTTAGGGCCAAATTCTGATCTTGTGCCAGTATAGATACAGAGTAACGTCACTGAAGTCAATTAAAGAACATTGGTCTAACCCCAGAGTAACTGAGAGCAGAATTTAGCCTTAAGGTTTATCTCCCACCAGTTTTCTATTGGTGTAATTCCATTTACTTGAAAGAACTTGCACCTGATTCTCCTCGGCGTAAGCATGATCAGAATCAGACTCATCACTGTTATTTTGTTTCATATGGGCAGAGTTGGTCTGATCCTGAAAGGTTCTGGGCGTCCTCAGTTCCCACTGAAGTCAAAGGGAATTGAGGACACAATCACCACCTAGCAAGTTGTGTGCAGAACCCTTTAATTTCATTTGTAGTGTCATAGTGGAAAAAACATCATTCTCCCCTCCACACTCACACTAGTACCAGAAATTTTAATTATTACACTTGATCAAAACGTAATTGTTACTTACAAATGATACAATCAAAACCAACAGACCTTTTGTCAGCTTTGGACAGGGCAGATGATCAAATCACTTAAAGTACTTTCCTGGATGAATGCCATTCACTGCAAAGGTAGGAAAGATGGATGGTCTATTTGCAGAAGAAGACTGAATCTATGCCTTGTGTCTGGCTGGATGCATGTGTGATATCTGATAACCCAATGGGAAATTTAGAAGATTTCAGGGACTGAGGAAAGCACATAATTTATTGTATAAACTTCAACACTCTTTGTTCCATGTGTTTTCACCATTTATTACCAACAATTTTGTCATGTTCTGTCATCATCGATCTCCAGAAATCTCTTTCTAGTTGCTTTTGTTGCCAGTTGCATATGGGATATTCAGGAGGTGAAAAAGTTTTGTTTTCTTTTTACTGTTAACACTTCGGGAAACTGAAAAGAAACATCTGCTTCTCCCTAAGGTGTGATAGGACAGTCTGAGCAGTTTTGACTTCCAGAATGTGAAAGACAAATATATGTATAAATGCTCCAAAATTATCTCTCTCTCCAAGGTAGGGTGACCAGATGTCCCGATTTTATAGGGACAGTCCTGATTTTTGGGTCTTTTTCTTATATAGGCTCCTATTACCCCCGTCCCGATTTTTCACTCTTGCTGTCTGGTCACCCTACTCCAAGGAGCAATAGCCTCGGTGACAGGAGGGTCTGCACAAGCTCCAGAGCTTCACTGGCACATTTTGTTTTGTTACATAGAATTTTCTATCTCCTTGTCTGCTATTTTCTGTGCATGCCCAAAATCTCTATGATTGGGTTTGCAGTGCGTCCCAGCATCTACATTGCAGCTGGGAGTATGCTTCACAGCTTGGGCAGACAGACAAGCGCTAGCTCTGCTTAAATTAGCATGTTAAAAAAAAATGCAGTGTAGCTGGGGGTGGCAGGAGTGGCAGCTTGGGCTAGTATGAGTATGTTTGAAGTTGCCTGAGTGTGTTTGAAGGTTTCCAGTGGATTTGTACTCAGAAAGCTGCCCTTGCCTACACTGCTATTTTGAGTGCACTAGCTCAAGCAAACTAGTGTGTCTGTCTACCTATGCTGGGAAGTAAGCTCCCAGCTGCAGTGTAATCATATTAGTGACATCAGTGGAACACCAGAGATTTGGAGACAAACTGGAAATTAAAGAGAGGTGATGGAGAAGGAAGTGGAGAGAGTCTTGAAGAGCTCCTGGCCCATTCTCCTCCTCCTCCAGTGTCTACAGTAACAACACAAGAGGTGCAGTTCCCTTGAGCACCAGTGTGATAGCTGTTAGGGAGGTCTTTTCAGGGTATTATACATATTCAGTCCTGATGTTTGTTACAAACTGTTTACTACTCAGGCTAGGGATTGGTGAGCCAGGTAGTCCAGGAAGGATTTCCTGTGTCCCCAGTTCATTAATACCTATGTATACTGTGATATGTTAAATTCAGCATGCTAGTTTTTTAATATATAGATATAATATAAACCTTAGCTTTCCCTTTGTGTGTTTTGAGAGAGGCATATACCATGCTCCTTTGATAAGACATTGATGCGTCATTCTGAATTGTGTGAGCATTTTTCATCTTCTCTGGTATTACTGTTGCAGTTTCCAAGACAAGGTTTGCAGCAGACACAGCAGCAACAGCAGACGGCTGCTTTAGTCAGACAACTCCAAAAACAGCTCTCTAGTAAGTATGCCCATCTATAAGAGGCATCTATTTTTCTGCAGTTTCTTTTCCATATTTAAAACAAGAAACATGAAAATGTAAGTATATCATTCTATTGACACCTTCAGTTCTGGTCTCTAGTAAAAGGACAGTTCTGAAAATGATACAACGACAAACACTGAAGATCAGATTCTGTATGTGACTCAATACTAGCACATGCATTGGTTCCCACAGTTCTGCACAGAAGCACAGAGGTCCAGACCGAGTCATTTTCAGGATTGGGGCCTAATTGTTTGCCATCCTGAGTTCAGTCAATGTTATTTTCTCCTTCCATGTCCTATTTTCAATTGTGAGGATAAATCAGGAACATCATTGCATTGAATGTTTTCCTCGTTTTTCTCCAGCTATTTCTTGCTCATGTTTCAAACGTATTGACAAATTTATGTTATTATTCAAAACAGTTGTAAGTGTGTGCACATCAAGACCAGTCTTTGACTAAATTTTTCATTTTTTGGAAAAATTTCTTAATGGTATATTTCAAAAAAATGAAAACAAATATTTTTATTGTTTTTGTTTGATTTGAAATAGTGGGAAAATTTCCACTCTCGGTTTCCTTTTTCCTTTTCTCCTGTTTTTTCTTTCTGGAAATTTCAGCACATTTAGAGAAAAAATATTTTGAATTTGGGGGTTTTTATTTCCCTCAGCACATTTTTTTATCCCTTTTTTCACTGGAAAAGGTTTGAGAAAAGTGGAAAAGAAAAAAACTCACATTTTGAATTCCCTGTCCCTCTTTTCCTCCTTCTCTGGGGAAAAAAAAAGGTGAGGTGGGAAATAAAAAATGAAATTCTTCTAACTGAACTGAGATTTTTCAAAACAAAATGTTTTAGAAAAAATGTTTTGATTTTTTTCACTGAAAAGTGAGACTTTTTGAACAAAACAAAAAACATTAGTTTTCTTTTGAAAATTAAAATTTCAACCAGCATTAAAGATTTCCTTTCAAGAGACTGAAAAGGTTATAATATAATATAAAAACTAGGGGGCCACCAAATGAAATTAATGGGTAGCAGGTTTAAAACAAATAAAAGGAAGTTCTTCTTCACACAACGCACAGTCAACCTGTGGAACTCCTTGCCTGAGGAGGTTGTGAAGGCTAGGACTATAACAGGGTTTAAAAGAGAACTAGATAAATTCGTGGAGGTTAAGTCCATTAATGGCTATTAGCCAGGATGGGTAAGGAATGGGGTCCCTAGCCTCTGTTTGTCAGAGGGTGGAGATGGATGGCAGGAGAGAGATGACTTGATCATTACCTGTTAGGTTCACTCCCTCTGGGACACCTGGCATTGGTCACTGTTGGCAGACAGGATACTGGGCTGGATGGACCTATGGTCTGACCCAGTAAGGCCTTCAAATGTAACTCTAAACAGGGAATTGTCATCAAGCAGGTGTGTTTCCAGTGGGATCCCACAGGGATCGATTTTTGGTCCTCCACAATTTAACATTTTTATCAGTGAACTGGAAGAAAATATAAAATCATCATTGATGAAGTATGCATGTGACACAAAAATTGGGGGAATCATAAATAACGAAGAGGAGGATAGAACTAATGTGATTCTGGGATGCATGAACTAGGGAATCTTGAGTAGGAGAGAGGTTATTTGACCTCTGTATTTAGGACTGGTGTGACCACTGCTGGAATACTGTGTCCAGTTCTGGTGCTCACAGTTCAAGAAGGATGTTGATAAATTAAAGCGGGTTCAAAGAAGAGCCCAAGAATGATTGAAGGATTAGAAAACATGCCTTAGAGAGAGAGACTCAAGTCGCTCAATCTATTCATCTTGGCAAAGAGAAGGTTATGGGGTAATTTGATTACAGTCTATGAGTACCTATATGGGGAAGTAATATTTAATAATGGGTTCTTCAGTCTAGCAGAGAAAGGTATAATATGATCAAATGGCTGGAAGTTGAAGCTAGACAAATTCAGACTGGAAATAAGGCGTAATTTTTTAACAGTGAGAGTAATTTACCAACAGTCGTGATAGATTCTCAATCACTGACGACAATTTTTAAATCAAGATTGGATGTTTTTCTAAAAGATATGCTCTAGAATTATTTTGGGGACGTTCTATGGCCTGTGTGATACAGGTCAGACTAAATTATCACAATGGTCTCTTCTGCCCTTAGAATCTATTAAATAGGCCCCCAATCCTGGAAACACTTACATACTTAACTTTATTATCATGAGGAGTCATTGAAATCAGTAGGGCTACTTACAGTAGTAAAATTAAGCACATCTGTAAGTATTTGCAATCCTGAGGCCTCAGTGATGAGCAAGTCTAGCATTACACTTATCAACATTAGATTTTAGAGGAAACACCCAAGCAATAGTAATTAATAAATGAAAGCAGTTCATACCTCTTGGGTCTATAGTGTTTGTCTATCTACACTCAGGAAACCCTTTTGCACTGGTTTACATTTGGAAAGTTTCCTTCAGATGGTAAGAACTAAGAACTTCCTTCAGATGAGAAGACCTAAGAATTTTTCTTCATGCAGGAAGGATCTAAAGGATTACAAAAGGGGATAAAATTTCTAAGAGATTCTTCTTCCAAAGATTTTTGTCCAATGTGGGGTTGAGAGTGGGACCAGGGTTTGGTCACCCACAAATTCTGCTGATTCCCTGAGGGTCCAACCACCCACTAGTTGTGTCCCCATCGTCCATGACTCCACTGAAGCCAAACTGCCGTAGGACAACCCTTGCCTGCTTAAAGGCAGGCTCATCCACACCATGCAGAAGGCACAGCTTGAAGTTAACAGGGTCTGGGACTATATTATCTTTTCTCTCAAATCTCCATATGATGGGAAGGGGCTTACATGTATCTGCACTCATCCTGCCCACCTGCAGGGTGTTGGAAAAGGATGTAGGATACTTTCTTGGAAGCAATGAGCCATCCTTTCAGAGAGGGGAAGTGTGATTCACATGTGGATCAGGGAAATATAGGTGGGGAGTCCTCCCTTTTTTTAATGAAAGGTTAAATGCTGCAGAAACTGATGAGACCATCAAAGAAATGTGGGTTACCCAGGAAAACAAGTGTTACAAAATAGTTGCTTTTTACTTTATCATTTTAGGCATGTCATTTGCTTGCACGTAATTATTGTTTGAAAGGTCATCTTAAGGGCCCATCCTGTAATCCTGGAGCAGACAAAACTTCCCTGGAATTTTGTTTGTGGTGGGTGTGCAAAATCCAGCCCTTAATTTGCAACTGTTCAGCATTGAAAAGTCCTCATTTTCTGAATGGATAGTTCTGAGCCTTGTTTATTGCTTACTATGGTGATTTGAAATCTAGGTATTTATTTCTTCATTTATAATTTTGTACAGTGAACACAACACATGTAAACACTTTACTTTATTTTTGTTATTTAGGTAACCAGCCACAACAAGGGGTGAACCAATATGGGCATTCTTCACACTTCTGAATCTGGAAGGTGGGATCAAGATGTAGTGTTATGTTTGCACTGAAGAAAAATCAAAATTCAATGCACTAGTTATTGCTAGAAAGCAAATTTTTAATTTTTTTCTCTTTAATTTTTTCAATATGTATTTTTTGTGCTGCAATTGATGTGAATATGTAACAAAGTGAAAGATTTTTTTTTTTTTTGCATTTAACTGGAATTAAATGTATGATTTGTGGGCCTATTTAAAGAACACAGTTGTTGCAAAGAATTTGGTGCTTTTTAGGGTACTGTTACTTTAAAAGGGTTAAAGAATGGATTTATTTATTTGTGGGAAACATATTTTCTTTTTTTAAGAACTGCACTGGACCAAACGACTGATTTGAAAGGCACTTCCGATTTTGGCATAAAGATTGATTTGTTCATTAAAGTGTTCTCCTTCGTTCTTCAACAGTAAAATGAGTGTTGATTTAAATCATATTAATTTTGACTGTTTGTAATTTTCATAAGCACTTTATAAAGTTCTTTGTTTAAAAGTACCCAATTTTCTCTTGCTTTCATTGTGGAAAGAAGGTGCTGAAGTGGGTTTCTTGCTTGTATTAGAACTTCCTAAGATTTATATAAAAAGCCACAATGTAACAATAATAAATCTACTAGAAGTAGCTGTGCTTCACATTTTTCTTTTTAATGCAAAGTTCATTGGCAGTGAACCTTGTGAGGGTACAAAATGTGGTAACAAAGCCCTGAATATCCACAACAGATTTTGCTCTAAATCCATTTAGGGCCTGAACCAAGTCCTGTTGAAATCTGATGACAATCTTTCCATTGACTTCAACGGGAATTGGATCTCTGGGTCTCGTGCTAGGTTCAACAAAAGTCTCTTTCCAGCTTTTGCCCTTTGGAAGCTTGTGCCAGGCTAGAAAAGCCCCCCCAAATCACTTTTGCTGTTTCTGTAGTGCTCTAGCTGGGCCTCATGTCTATTGACCTTGACCTAAATGAGTTCTTCCTCTAATAGATGTATTTATTATTTATTTTGTATGGTAAGTACTTAAAATTTTGAATTTAATTCTTAATGTTGGGTGATAGTCTTGGTTGTGTAATGCATACTGCATTTATAAATTTGGTGCAAAAGCACAAGTTATACATTACATTTATTATAAAGAGATATAACTATTTTAACCTTGTTCAAGTATGTGGTATATTTGCTCATATTAGAGTAAAAAAATCAGAATAAATTTACTATGGGTTCATGTAATTTAAGAGTTACTCCATATGATTTTTTTTTTAGAATAAGATGCACAAATTTTGAATGTGAAACATGCAGGGCATTTCAAAATATATGGGAATTTTGTTCTCATGTTCTGTATTAACTCATCTTTTCATTTGCCATAATATAAGTGTACTGTTTGGTATCCTAGTCAGACTTACATTGAATAGAAAAGAGTCAGCACTCAGCAAACATTGTAGTACTGTATGACACCACAGATCATTAAATTTTTATAAACAGTTTAGTGTGGAAAATCATAATATCAATAATTTGTATCTAATTCTGACTTCCACACTGCAAAGTCTTACCCATACAAGCAACCAGTAGGATGGGTCAGCATCTTTACTGAAATAAAATTCTTGTGAACTGCTTTGTACATTGTGAAAATTATTTAGCTCAAAAATTCTTCACTTGACCATCTCAGCTTGTACAGACCTTTATCAAAACAGAAAGGCCACTCATTCCACTAAATGAATAGGTTGTCTGTTTTGAAAAGTTAACATATACCTGTACATTTATTTTCTTCTTTTTTGTACATTATTTCAAAAAAAGCCTGATGCAAGTTGATATCCCTGTCCTTTCAGGTGACTGCATATTACTAGAATAGTATCCACCACAGAAAAGCAGACTTAAGACCAGTTTCTGTCCTCAGCCACATACATACAACACCACTCACTGCAGTGGGGCATCGTGGTTTTAGCTGAGGGCAAAACCTGGAGGTGCATGTTTACTTAGTAGAATTTGTTTGTTTACAAATTAATGGCATTGAAAGTGTCAGAAGCAAAACACAATTTTAACTTTAATTTTCTTTCGGAGCAAAGATTTAAAACTGTGTTAAACAAAAATAACCCAGATTACCGTCTAATCAACTTCAGTGGTCCTTGGGGACCTAGGCTACGTCTTCACTACGGAGGGGGGTCGATTTAAGATACGCAAATTCAGCTACGCGAATAGCGTAGCTGAATTCGATGTATCACAGCCGACTTACCCCGCTGTGAGGACGGTGGCAAAATCGACCTCCGCAGCTTCCCATCGACGGCTCTTACTCCCACCTTCGCTGGTGGAGTAAGAGCGTCGATTCGGGGATCGATTGTCGCGTCCTGATGGGACGCGATAAATCGATCCCCGAGAGGTCGATTTCTACCCGCCGATTCAGGCGGGTAGTGTAGACCTGCCCCTAGTCAGCAAAAGTATTCAAGGCTGCCTGTGCCTTGCAAAGCCCCAGAAGTTCTTGGGTCCTGACTCTGCTTCAGTCAAAGTTATTCAGCAAAAAAGATCCGGTTGAAACAATAGCTCTTTTAAAAACAAATGAAGAAGCTGGCAACTTTTTGATCCTAAGGTTTTGGAACTGGCTAGGAAGCTCATGCAAATAACTTTGCCACCAACTCATTGTTCCTAGTTACTTTGAACTTCACAGCAAATCAGAATAACTGTTGTGTGTGACAACAATTAGGAAGATTTATTAACACCACAATAGTGGCAGTTCTTCAAATGGTTCTAATTTTTGCTGCTTCTTCAATGAAAATGCGTTTTGGTTTCCTGTGGGCTGGGATTATTTCCCTTCGCTGTCCCTTGAATGGTTTGTAAGAGGGGTGAAATTATTTGTTAATCCTCTGGGCGACTGTCCTTTAGTGCTCTTCATTGAGGACTAAAGACATTCCTGAGATTTAGCAAACAGAACTATTTAATCCAGCCAATTTTCTTCTACCTCTCTATCAGTACTAAGGAAGGAAGGAACAAGCAGCTTCATATATGTGGCTGATCTCAGGAAGTGATTGATCCACCACAAAACAGTCAGTCACGCTTTAGGCTGTGGCCTCTTTTTAAAGTTCTTCCCCAGCTCACTAAAATGTAGTCAAATGGGTAGAATCTGCACTCAGATCTTGGGAACATCCTGACCACGTTCTGAGTGTCAAGAACCTTCATGACCTATGGGGTAATTCAATAGATGGGTTGTTAGTGTACAGGGGTTTCTGTTATGGTGCTTTTTGTGTGTAATCGAGCTATACCTATTTTTTCAATAATAGTTTTAAATATTGTATGACATTTTACTGATGTAAGGTACTAGGATGGTGTTACATGGTAGCAGCTGCTCTACACCGTTTCCTGTATCCAACAGGTTTTCTGTGGTTACTGCTAAAGAGGCATTAATTTCTATTCTGCAATCTATGATCCCTGTTGGAAGGGGTCATAGAGCTCAGGTTATGGGCATGGAAACCAGTGCCAGCAAAACCAGCCTGCCAGATTGCTGGTGAGGAAAGGACCTCAAGGAGTAACACTGAGGGGCTTCTGCTCCATGCATATGTCCCAAATCTGTGAGTTTAGGCCCAGCAAATACTCAGGTTCTGCATTGGTGTTGGAGCTGTGCCCTGAGCCTACATTAACACTTCTCTTAGAAAGACCAAGTCAGTTAGTGACGTAAGCTTTTGAGGTTTATTTGGCCCAGGGAGTCCAAAAATCTTCGCTGGTGCGGAATGCCTAAGTGGCCATTTCCTGTTGAAAAGAGGCTTTCTCCTGAATTGCAGGAGGCGGATGCTTGGGAATATTATTTTCTATTTGATAGAGCCCCCTTCATTCTAAATTCCTATATAAATTGGTGCACTTATTTTTTTAATTTGAAATCTTTAGAAGCTGAGCTTGTGGTGAAAGGGACTTTATACCAAGCTACTCTGTTTTAATAAGCAGGTTGTGTTGCTTTTGAATTTTTAAACAAAGATTAATAGAAACCCTATTGTCCATTTAGAGAGCATTATTAAATCATTTTATATTTCTGCTACTACCTTGGAAAAAGTTCTCCATTGTGAAAGAATAGAATGTCATATTAAAAATAGCTAAACACTTGTTTTCTGTGAACTATTTATAAAAGAACTACAAAATATTCATACATATCAGTAAGGTAATTTAAATCACAATAAAATTTCCTCTTTTTTGTTCTTAAATATTTTTGCATTATGTGTGCCATTCTTCTTATAGTGATACAAGATGGACAATAAGAAACTAATATAAAAAAACGCCATCCTTTACTGAAGATTTTTCAGGTACATTTCTGGAAAGCAATTTTATTTTGATGTTTACTATTTGTTGGCAAAATAAAAGTGCCTTATGTTTTTAATTGAAGTCTATTTGTCATTGAGTAAATCCATGCTAGTTCATAATGCAAATTTCCCCCCCAAGTCTTTCTCTTTTGCATGTTCATTGTACATTGATTATTGTAAATGTATTTGGATTCACCTACATGCTTCATGGCTACCTTTGATTAAACTTCCACAAATAAACTCAGTCCAGATGGAGACTTTGTAAACAATTACTCGGCCTGTATTTCTCATTTCAAATAACTTGAATATATGTTATTGTGAAATCGCTGCCAAATTGATTCTTAGCTCTGCACTTGTACATGCCAGAATCTGAAGATTTTGGATTCTGAATGATTAATGTCCCTTGGGGGTGAAGAAGTTCACTTCCAGATGGTCTGCCTTTACTAGCTGGAGAAAGCACAGAGTGGTCTGGCAGCTCCCATGTGATTTCTGGTTTCGGTATCCCCAGTGCCATACAGTTGAGCTGAACTGCTGCCCCAGCCATAGTGCGTATACTCTGTGGTGGTCTGTTTGTAATCCGTGGGGGGTAGGCTACAGTCATTACAGGAACAGTTATAGATGACTCTCCAGCATTGTTCTGAGCCTTACACAGGTAGTTTCCTCTGTCATGAATGGTTGCTTCTCGAATAACTAAAGTACCATTTTCAAGTAATATGTATTTCCCAGTGATTTGAGGCCGATCTAGCACATAGCCACTTGGTACTGTCCATATAATGTTTGGTTTGGGGCTTCCATCAGAGAGACAGTGAAGGGATAATGATTCCCCACTGATGCTCTTTATTGGTCCTCTTGAACGAGTAAGAATAGTGGGCTTCTGACCAACTTCCAAGATGATCAGCTTTTCAATGTAGCCCACTTTATTTCTAGCTGCACAGCGATACTTTCCTGCATCATCTCTGAAAGGATTATATATGATGAGGGTACCATTACTACCTATATGATACCGGGAAATTCTGGCTCCACTGGAAAATCGTGTGCCATTGGGTAATATCCAGATGATTTCAGGCGGAGGGTTTCCATCCACTGAACAATTTAATATGATGGTTTTTCCTGGTTTTGCTATTATTTTTTCATTGAATGGATTTCTAAACATTGGTCGTCTTAGCATTTCTAATACCTCCAACTGTACTACCAATATGCTTTCTCCTCCATCATTACGTACCACGCATATAAAATCTGCTGTGTCTGAAGGCCTTACATTCCTAATTTCAAGTGTCCCATTTTTGTGTACTGTTATTCTGCTCCCATAGTACGGAGCTGTTAGGAAAATATTGTCAGGCATTATCCACATAATTTGAGGGGAAGGTGTCCCTTCTGACATACAATCTATTTGCTTCTTTGAGTGCCTTATTGCTGTTGCTTTAATGACAGTTTTGTTTGTATATAAACCATTTATCAGGGGTGGTTTAGAAACAACATCTAGTTTATAAAGTTTTGTGTCATCTCCACCAGGATTACGGGCAACACATACATACTCCCCAGCATCCAACAGTTTCACTTTGCTGACTGACAGTGAGCCATTAACATGCAGTAAATATCTGTTTGTTGAAGCTGAGATCATGTCACTGGAAGGTAGCAACCAAAATATTTTTGGCTTGGGTTCTCCAACAACCTCGCAGTCAAATACTGCATTATCCCCAGCTTTTACTTTAGCATATGTCTTGTAATTCTGCTTTATACGAGGTGACGCTGTTACAACTGTAATGTGTACCTTCATTTCATCTTTTCCTAGTGTATTTTGGGCATAACAGGTATAGTCTCCCTCTTCAGCTATTCCAACCTTGTTGAAATACAGAGTTCCATTGTCAAAAAGAATGTATCTCCGAGACCTGCGTCCACTGTCATCTGCTTGCATCACATTATTAATCATTGTGCCATCTGGCAAACTCCAGGAGATCTCTGGCTCAGGTGACCCAGAGGCTTTACAGTCCACTTTGAAGTCCTTCCCATATGGTACCTGTTTTTTAAAATACTGTTTTTGGTCAATCTTTGCTGGTTTCATAGTCACACTGACTTTCATTAGTATTAGGTCATCTCCAATTCTGTTTCTTGCTACACATAAATAGTCACCTGCATCCTTTTCTGTGACTGCCTCGATAAACAAGGATCCATTAGGATAAACATGAATTCGACTTCCCATTCTAGAAGAAAAAAAGAATCCTTTAATATGTAGCCACATGCTAAAGGAGAACACTGAGCCCTAATAAGTGATGTAAAGATGTATGGACTCAAGTGGATGAATTGCTGTGGGGTTTTTCCTTCTATATCTTAAAATTGTGCCTATCCCATGCTGTAGGTACATGTACACTATTTGTTTTAAGGAAAAACAAAGATATAAGAGTATCTTTCCCAACCCTGTTCCCCCATTTTTGTTAGGACTAATTTATCTTCCCCCTTTGACCACTGAAACCCACCTCAACCCACCCCCTCCCCAAAGGACTGAGGGAGGGAATCTTGCTATGAGCCATGAAAGTCATCAATCTTGGGCTCTATCAGATCAACAGGGGAAGAGAGATCCAGAATTTATGGGCCAGGTCTTCAGCCAAAGCCAAAAAACAGCTAGCATAGGTCAGAGGGTTGTGTGCAAAGCAGACTTAGAGCTCTCCTTTACACTGTTTCCCTCCTGCAGCAGTTGTGGGTAGAGACATTTTCCTCCTGCATTGTGTTAGAACAACCTGATGGCTGCTCGAACACCAGGGGGCTGAAACCACAACCCAGGATCAGCATAGCATAAAGGGCATCATGACTGTTGCCACATTTCCCCATGACAGCTGCAGCAAGGGGAATGCATGGTATAATGCCTGCATCTGTAACTTTCACTCCATGCATCTGAAGAAGTGCGGTTTT